AGTCCTCAAATCTTCATTAGTTTTATAAATCAACTATCACAAATGCTGGAGAATGATGGTGGAAGAGGTATTTTTATATCTTCACAAGCCAAGGATGTTTATTCTTTCCTATTTGCTGATGTTGTCTCATCTGTATCTGACAGTGCTATGCAGCTCCATAGGAAAATTAATGTTGTTGAAAGGTTTTGTGCAGAGACTGGAATGAAGGTGAACCTGAAAAAGACTAAAATAATGGTATTTCGCAATGGATGTCCGCTCAGGGATTATGAGAAGTGGTTTTTAAATGGAACACAAATTGAGGTTGTCATTATGTATAGATACTTAGGTATTGTGTTTACTCCAAGATTATCATGGACAAAAGCGAAAACCTGTTTATCGTCTCAAGCGAGGAAGGCCATATTTTCTATCAACAATTATCAAAAATGTTTTGGATATATTAACCATCATGAATTGTTTAAGATATTTGACTCTACGATTGCACCAATACTCTGTTACGGATCTGAAATATGGGGAACAACCTACTGTAAAATTATTGAAACTGTGCACACCAGATTTTGCAAGTCATTTCTTAAAGTTAGTAAAACTACCAACAACAACATGGTTAGATGATTGATTGGCATTTTAGAAGATGATATTTGATGAACATAGAGATTTTTCTGGGTATCTTTTTATTCTCGAGTACTCGAGAATAAAAGAAGATGTAACCCAGAAAAATCTCTATGTTCAACAACATGGTTCTGGGAGAGTGTGGGAGAGCTCAACTCCAGTATCAATATATCTCAAGAGCAGTCAAGTACTGGTGCAGACTGATACAGCTTCCACGAAACAGACTTCCTTATCAGGCATATCTAATGATGAAAACTCTCGATGATAATGGTAAAACAACATGGGCTTCTCATATTAGGTTAATATTATTCCAATATGGATTTGGTTTCTTATGGATATCTCAAGACATAGGCAGTGTATCCACATTCATGGTAATTTTTAAACAGAGATTCTATGACTGCTTCACTCAAGACTGGCATGCATTACTATTTTCGTCACCCAAATGTAAATACTATTCACAATTTAAATCATCTCTAAGCGTCGAACCATATATAACCAGTGAATTGCTACCAAATCAACGTAAAATCATAACTCAGTTTCGGTGCTGTAACTTCAGACTCGCAGTGGAATGTGGCCGTCATACAAACACCCCGTATAATGAATGTCTCTGCCTCTTTGTCATGCTGCTGGCCTTGATTACATCGAAGATGAATTCACACATTTATTAATATGTCAAAATATTCCCAACAAAGATCTGATTGTTTTTCAGTATATCTGACTCAACCACCGACAATTGAAACCTTCATCCGATTGTTGTCATCAGACAATATACATATTATAAAATCATTGAGTAAATATCTTTCACAAGTTCGCCGGAATGATTATCTGTAAAAGAAATCAATACTAAATTTTACTTAGCTTCACTCAGTATGTATTTACTTTTGCCAAATGTATGTATTATGGGCCTTGGGCCTAAATTACCGAATAACCCTGTCTGTCTGCTGTCTGTCTGGAGAGATGAGAGCTTGAGATTTACTAATAACTTCCAGTATGTGGGGTTGAGCAGTGTCAGTGTCACACATTTAATTCCTTCATAGACACGAGTAAAGAGTCACTTACTAACACAACTCACTCAACTCACTCACTCAACTCACCCACTCAACTCTCTCACTCACTCACTCTCTCAACTCTCTCAACTCACGCACTCACTCACTCACTCACATATTGGTACTGGTTTGTGATGTTAAGGAGCCTACCAAAATAACTCATCTCCTGATGATTCTGTTAGGGAAGGATAGATGACAGAGTTGCTCCTCCTTGGCACCTGTTTTCCACTCTAAGACGTGTTCATTTGCGTGAACCTTTTTCTTTGCATGCTATATGTTTTGACTATACTTGAGAATGCGAATACAACGCTCACATACGTTGAAAATGATTATTCAGATATCAGAGACATGTCTACCATTATTATTCAGAAAATGTGAACAATGTGCTCTTTGTTTTCCTATTTGTCTAGGTTCACTGACCAGCCGACCAACCAACTAACTGTCTACAGGAAGAGTGAGTGTGTTTATCTTTACCCAGCAATATCACGGTGAGGGACACCAGAAACGGGCTACACACATATGGGGATCGAACCCGTGTCCTCAACATGACAAGCGGACGCTTTAACCAGTAAGCTACCCCAATGCCCCGGCTACTGGGAGAAGCTGGGACCTGAATATGTATACATAGTAGGAACCAAAGTTGAACTATTTTGATTCAGATATTTTAAGTAGGTCTACCAACACCTTCTGATTTGATTTGACTGTTGTTAACCCAGTAACATGACATAACCTGGGTCTGTGTTCAGACCTTACCTTATGTAACTACATATAAAGGTGTTCGCTGTTTCTACTGTTCAATGGTATTGGGGCAGTTATATTAACTATGACCTATATCTGATATGCCGTTGTCATCGTCATTGTCTGTGAGAGGAACTATTTAACCAGACTTGGCACATTAAACACATGTTGTTTTGTGATTTTGTATACTTCTGCTGTGAATATACATAGTACAACGTTCAGATACACGTTATATTCTGGAATTATCTTTAGAATGTTGCTATCAGGCTGGGTATGTAGATGTCAGGTCAGGTATCTAGGTGTCAGGCTGGGTATGTAGGTGTAAGGAAGTCCATTAGCTTTAAGCAGACATGCCCATCTTCTCACTATCTTTGATATTCAGCTGTGATGTCCGTATGGAAACTAAAGTATCACTGACATCACTGGAGTATGTAACTGCTACAATACTACATCAAAGTACCTTATTATAGTGTTGAATCGTGTAGACATCTGTTTTACTTCAGTATAATGTGGTGTTGTATGGCAGTAGATGTAACCTACACTAACATTACATATGTCTTTAACTGCCATTTAGATGTAACAATGACGTCAGACTTGAAAGAGTGTTTCGACTTTATTAGTGTTTCTTTTCCGATGCTTTCGGGTATCTAGGTGTCAGGCTGGGTATGTAGATGTCAGGAACCCCATTACAGGTGTCCCCCGTCCTGACATTGCTGGAACTTTGCTGAAAGTAAACTCACCCACCCACCCAATCACAATATTGAGATACACGTTTTTTTCTGAAGTTATTTTCTATCTGGAAACGTTGTGTTTGGACATCATGTGCGGGTCAGGTATGTGGGTGCTTGACTATCAGGTTCAATTTGATGGTATCTTCTAGGATAAGCATGTAAGTTCTGTATGTTGGTATCAGGTCGGAAATGTAGGCATGAGGTATGTAGGTATCAGTGTAGGTATGAAAGTATCAGTGTAGGTATGTAGGTATCAGTGTAGGTATGTAGGTATCAGTATGCGTATGGAGGTATTAGTTTGGGAATGTATATCCAGTGTTCGCTTTATATTTGCAATGTCGGGTTCAGGTTGGGTATGATTGTCTGGTCCAGACTCGATGATTTACAGACCGCCACCACATCGCTGGATTATTGCTGAGTGGGGCGTAAAACTAAACTCACTCACTCACTCTGGTTTGGTATGTAGGTATAATGTTAGGTGTGTCACAATTTACTGGCTATGTAGACACGTGACTTGATTTGTGTTTTATACTAAGTAGCGAGAGGCAGATGCGCGCGGGTCTGTACTCATGTCAATAATTGTTTGAAGTTAAGTAAAATCGATTATGGATTAAACTTTTATGAGACCACCCGGCAGTTGAAACCAGAGAGGGTTTCTTGCCCCACACTGAGGAACTTGGACCAAGGGATTTCCTTATACAAGTAATGTTTATACAAGTATTGTGATTGAACATGGCGTGGACACTATTCCATTGACAGGCGTAATAATGTCAGTGCTTTGAGCATGCACTATATCTATCGATTCTCAATATAGGTTGACACATGTCTACATTTTAGCATACAACATATTACATTTACAAACGTTCGACAACTTTCGACATTACAGTATTCGACAAATTGAATAATAGAGATGTGTTTCATTCGCACACATATTTTGAGTACCTAACCTTCATAATTGAGTTTCTTTTAAGCAGTTGAGAACTGTAGTGGAGCAAATCATACATATTATGGCATTTCTCTGCTTTGAATTGAAATTCTCTCAACTTAAGGAAAGATGCTACCTCATGAAGGTAGTAAAATGTGTGTTACCTGTTTCCTGAGGTAGGGCGGTATTTACTCGATTTGCAGTAGTTTGCCTCATATCTCAACAAGCACCCTCACTAACAGACATAACACACTCCCATGACTAACACATGCTTATATTTGACTTTGTGGATGCTATAATACATAAAGCCATCAATGCTATTATATTAAATTCAAAATAGATTTAACTTTAGTAATCTGATAGGATAGGGTGCCCTTAAACTACTTTCAAGTATGTGATATTTGAATAGAGTTCTATTCTCGCTCCAAAATAGACAGGGAGTTGTTTCAGTATGTACGAGCCTGACAAAGTCATCTGGACACCAACTATGCCCCTGAACTTTATGATCGTTACTTAAAGTCACGACATTGAGGATGGTGAAGCAAGTTCGACAACTGAGAATAGATCGCAGTTTGATACCTCAAAAATGGGGACTGGACTTGAGCTAATCGGCTGCCTCAGCAATGTAGTCTCTTGACATTCATAAACCACAAACCATTTCAACCTCTTCATGCCTCTTGTCTAGTCTGTTGAGGCGCTGGTTCGTTTTAACTGATAACCCATCGAGGCACAAGGGACTAATTGGGAAAAATGTAAGAGTATCTATGCCCAAACACATAGTATCAGAGGCATCGTGTACCGCGCTGTACTTTCGCACCATGTGTACATGTTCGTGCGTGTGTGTGTACGTGTGTATGCCTGTGTGTACTCAAAAACACTAAATGATACAATTCATGGATAGAGCAGAAAGAATAGCAAATGTAACGGTATCAACATGACACACAAAGCCATCAGTGACAATAGTATTACTATTTTATTGCATTCAATGTACGTTTAACTATAGTAATGCGAACGAATCGGGTTTCTTGAACTTTTCATGATTAGTGTATGGTATGGTATGGAAATAATCAGAGTTCTATATCCGGCCAAAATAGCTAATGAGGCAATGTTTTTTAGTATGAATGGACCTGGAAAACCATCTGCATACTAGCTACCAGCTCAAGCTACCAGCTCATTGATTGTAGAACGTAGGTGGATACCTTAAACCGAGACTACTCGCCAGGAAATCGGCTTACCCAGAAAGTTAGACTCGTCACATTGATAAATAGTATATACCCTCTAAACTTTTTCAACTGTCAGGTCTGTTTAAATTGATATCCCTTCGAGCTGGGCTGATTGCTCAAAGTATCATAGTCAAAATGCCAATAGGCGTGATATCAAATGTATCATAATTAATATGTATGTTTGAGAGTAGTGACATGTACCTCACTCACACTTTATCTGTACACTAACCCGATTGTCCAGACTTCACCACGTGTCTGTTTAGAGACTACTGTTGTCCACCTTAACTACAGCATCTGCTGACGGACGAATACAGTCGTCCTGCTATCTGTGTCTGCAGACAAGTTACAGTCAACACTTTCCTTCACTGACGGATGCGGTACTCACAACGAATTCATGAAATGGATGCTTGATTGCTTCCTCTGCCTCCATTGTCTTCTCTCCTGTAGACATCAAACGGGACTGAAACACAGCAAGCACATTCTTGAATATCGACACGATGATCTTGTGCAGCAGTATTTCTTGTCAGTAACATTTACGAATCATCTCGGAACATGCTAACAAACTGAATATATTGATGTTTCATGTCAGCACATGATATATAATCACATGTTTCAATGCTGACCTTCAGCGGTGTTTAGAATAAGTATGCGTCCACCATCAGACCTTTAGCACACAATATAAGTGGCATGTCCAATGCTCAATTCTTATTATAATGTAGAAAGTTAGATCCGGTCAGAATGCCTTTTGTCTTTTTTTTATATAAGTATCATACATTTACCCAATCACTGTCGTCGTCGTCATCACAGTCACTGACACTAATTGACATCGTTATAAATGAAACCCCGTCATTAAAAATACTCATTTCGATCTGTAATCAACTTAAATAGACCTTTTTGACAACAGTGTACCATTCTCACCCGCGAACGAAATTTCAACCAATCAGAAGGGCGCGTCTCCGTGACGTAACGTGAGGAATAGATATAAGGGCCCATGTATAACTCACGTACATTTCAGGGGTAAATTATCTTGTTTACAGGTTTGTGTAACCTGAAATCGTGACAATTGTTGTTAAAAACGAAAGCTACAATCTACTGTCATCTAATTTTGTCACCTGCTTTGCCTAGCTTTCGAATTACAACTTGTTTTCATAGACGACTCTGTCAAATCACTTGGTGTCGCTCTGCGTTGTTTGTTCGAGCCAGATGCTAGTGATAGCGCAAGCAGGATTAAGAAAGAATCACTCTACAACTGGTAACATCTTTGTCTTGGATATGCTTATTCAGATTCTTAGACAAAGTAAGAGAAAATTATATTGCACTCTTATTGATTTCTCAAAAGCCTTCGACAATGTGTGGAGAGTCGGCTTATGGCATAAAGTACTAAAATGTGGTGTTAAGGGTAAATTCCTCCAGTTAGTCAAAAATATGTATGCAAATATAAGGTCACGTGTGTTCTATAAATGGCGCCGTATCATAGTATGTCCCATGTTTTTCAGGCGTACGGCAAGGAGAAAATCACCTCTGTAATTTTGTCTCTTCATCAATGATCTTGAAACATTCCTACTGAAAGACGGATGCACGGCTGTTAGAATTGGCGATTCGAACAATTTATATGTGCAATTATGTATCTGTTTCTTAGTCCTTCTCTACGCAGACGACACGGTCCTACTTGCTGATTCTGCAACTGAACTCCAGAAAACATTAGATTCCTTTAAAGACTATTGCAATATCTGGAAATTGGATGTTAACCTGAAAAATTACTAAAGTTCTTATCTTTGGAAGCCGGCCGTCCAAAAAATGTAGGTTATCTTTTTATTTGGAAAATACCGAAATTGAGATCGTAGATAATTATACATACTTAGGTGTTATATTCAGTAGCAACAGGAACTTCAGGTCAGCAATCAAATGTTTATCAGAAAGAGCTTCTAAAGCCATGTTCTGTCTATTAAAGAAATCTAGAAATTATAATGTTCCACTTGACTGTTTGCTGAAAGCTTTTGACGAGATCATATAACCGATATTATTATATGGTTTCCAAATCTGGGCCTACCAAAATATGAATATAATTGAAAATATTCATTTAAAATTCCTGAAACTAGCCTGTGGGCTTAGACATTCAATCCCAAAGTTTATGGTCAATGGGGAATTAGGTAGGGTGCCCTTATCGATCTGTGCAGCCAAACGGGTAGTTAGTTCCTGGCATAAACTCTGTAAACCTGGGCCTTCCTCGAAATTATCACAAATTATCTATCAGTTTGCCTATTTGCGATCTGTAGCTATTAATGAACAAAAATGTCTGGACGAGTAATGTAAGGCAAATACTTAACTTATGTGGCCTATCCTATGTATTTCATGACCCATTAAGTTTTTCAAGCCAATGGCTAACGGCTCGAGTAGAACAGACTCTAAAAGATCAGCTCTATCAAAACTTGAGATCTGACGTAGAGAGAAGCTCGAAAGGTCTTTATTATAAATGCTTAAAAGACATTCCTTCATTTGATAACTATATCCTTCTACCTAAACAAATATACTACCCTCTCTTAAAATACAGAACTTGTAACCATAATCTGCAAGTCGACGTTGGCCGTTGGCTTGGCATAGAGATAGAATTTAGGACATGTAAACTGTGTATGTCGCCAGCTATAGCTGATGAATTCCACCACCTGTTTGAATGTGAAGGTCTTATGAATGAAGTTTGAAATTTATCCAAAATAAATACATTCAATCCCCTAATATAATAGAGTACAAAAAAGTGCAAATTATTGTTATTTGTGGAAAACCTTTCTCCTGTACCAACGTGGTTAAATTCCAGTGGACATGTCCCCAGGTTACCATAAACCGTGAATGAAGGGGTGCTTTGTCTTAGTGAGAGGGGTGGGGTCCTTTAGAAAATTTAAATGAATATGTTCTACCCAAGATTTCCAGTTTTGAAACGGTATTTATGATCTTTTTGGAACCACGAAGTATAAATATATTTCTAAGGGATACTTTTATTATAAGTCACCATATTTATCAGCGCAATCTAACATGTGTTGTAAATCCTTTGGATCTGAGGTTAGCAGGATAGTGCAATCTGCATATAACAAAACAAATAGGTTTATCATTGTTTCTAATTGTGAAGGTCACCAAGATGTAATTTTATTTTACAAATTTGTCAATTTGTGGATTATATTGAAGATCATTCAGAAATATCTTAAGTAGTATCGATAATAGATTTTCACCCTGTTGGACGCCAGATGTCCAGGGTAAAAACTGATCTTTGCTTGATTTCAGGATACACAAGATGTAATATTTTGATACGTTTTATGAAGAACGTTAAAACATGTTCCGGTTATGTTGGTCGATATCAATTTATTTATTTATTTATCAGACAACGCAATTATACAGGCAAATGTGGATATTACGTGTAGGAATTCCAACGGTAGCGGTCTTCATGATTTTCACCATTAGATTATAAGGCACTTAACTAGCAAACCACATTCTGTGGTCCAGCTGTCATTTTGCCAGGCTAAAACAGATCGAGTCATGGTGGCTTGGCCAAAAGCAAAGGTGGTAGATGTTCGCGATGTATTTGATACAAACGGGCGACCGGGATTAGCAACACATAGCCTATAATTCTGACCATGAGTCGATGACAACTATGTTTTAGAAAGAAACAGGAATGGCTGTGAGACGTATGACCGAGTTTTGGAGATGGCTCAGAGGTAAATTACCATACCTAAAGTTGCATACCGATCCCAAGTTCAGATTGGTCCGATAGACAGATGTATTGATTGGACAGGGGGTTTATTCCATGACCGATTTGGAGGAGTGAGTGAGTTTGGTTTTATTTAGCAATATTCCAGCAATAATGACACCTGGGCTTCACATACATGTGGGGAATCGAAAAGGTCTTCGGCATGATCCCAGGTATTCTGCTGTTTTGCACTATTGCTTTTAGCCTCGATGAGAGGATTTACTCATGTCATGCACCTCAAAACGGAAAATATTTGTTGTGTATTCTTCATATATGGTAATAATAACAGTAGTCATTATGGCCACCAAATAACTCAGAGTAGCTAGATGCTTCACTTTATGTATACAATTACTGAGATATAATACGTTTAGCAATGATGGCAGTTGGTAGATGGTTGTCTGCTTTCCTCTTCATGCTTTACTTACTGAAGCAAAACATTTCGAACTTTCCTTAAAAACAGTTTTTACCGCGAACGGAGTCAGCAGTGAGATAGTCCCTGTGGTTAATGGTCACATAAACCCTAGGGGTACAAATACATAAATCACTAACTGGTTATAAATAAACCCCGTCATTAAAACACATGTTATTTCGTGACAACCATTCGAGAACTTGATGACGTCATATGAGGTTAATTCATCTAATTTATAACAGGCTTGTATAAAATGACAATTGTTGTGGTAACATGAAGATTATGTTCTCACAACAAAGTCATTTAATTTTGTTCCTGCTTTGCCTATTGGCGAGTTACAACTTGTTTTCATAGACAATTCTGTCAAAAAATCGATTGGTGTCAAGGCCCTATTTGTATAATGATTGATCCAAATTGATCCCATTTCATCGATATTTACTCATGTCATGTAAAAATTTGTTTGTATTCCTAAAACAGTGTCGGCCTGGGAGTTTTCACATGCAATACAGCAATTGTTGTAAATACCCCTTGTTGTAACCCGTATTAATTACATGTTATTTGTCATTCACTTGATGGTCAGTTAATAAATTTATAACAGGTATAATAAGTGGAATTACCAGATTAATCCGACAAAGGTTCCTAATTTCTTGTGTCTCGAGTAAATATTGTATAAACATCGATCAAAGGATGCTGATTGATTAATTTTTATCTTACACAGCTGAATTGTCTAATCTATACTGAATACACTCTGTCGTGTCGGTGTCTGCGTAAAAACAACGTCCTTCTTTCAAAGAATTAACCGGCAATACATTGATTGATTGCCCATTATTGGCTAACTAAATTACTGTTTTTAAAGAAAGGCGGACATTATGCAATTAGTTGCCAGGTGTGCTATCTTGGGTGACCAATGAGACTATACACCAATACCTGAAAAGATTTATCACTTTTTCGTATATTAAACTGTTAAAAGACACATCATTTGGAACAGTTTTGTGGATATTGATGGATACATTCCTCGAACAAGGTAATGGCCTGATATTGTTCCTATAACTTTAATCTGTTTTAATTTTAATATTTGCATTTTGTTTTTATTCATTTGTCGTTGCATTCAACAGAATCATCGTTTTCGCCATGAAGTGTAATGAGACAGACAACATGCACTAGGGTGTGTGTGCGAATTATGATTCACATTGGCAAATTATAAAATATCTAGATATTACAGTTCTGTTATAAATTCACTACAAGTATCAGCAGATTGTCTGCTTTTTATTTAGTTTCAAAATGCATACAAGTATGATAATAAACTAATTAGGAT